TTCTTTGAAACGTCACTGAAGTTAATGATTTATCTAGCGATTTATGTGGCGAATTCACCATTTCCTTCAAGACAGTACTCCGAATCGACCTGCTTTTAGCCACGCTTGACTTCTGACGGCATCAAGTCTATACATTGCGGCGGGGTAGTCTATACAAATGTGTAGGTGTGAAAATATGGCTTGGATTTCGAGGTGGACAAAATCCGCCCATGCACTACAGCTTCACCTATCGTATCAACTTCACGTGTCAAGCTTGAGCTTCTAGGCACTATTGACATTCTACTGAAGCAGCCAAAGCCAAACTGAACGTCAAGCATAACTCCTTTCAATCATCACTACGTGAAACCTTTCGTTGTCTCCTATTTTGTATTACTTATTGTCTTCATCTTCTGCAGACCCTTGTTATCATACAACAACGCTGTACTCGGCTCGAAGAGCGAAAGACACAGTGAATTCAGGGCGCTTAGCTTGCAAGTGGCACTGGTTAAAAAATGGCCGGCTGCGGGTTTCTTAAATTTGGCTTTTTGTCCAAAAACTAATGAATCTTCAATAATTAGCGGTTTTGCACTGAGACCAGAGCATTGCGAAAGTATTGAGGCCAAATTACCGAAAACACTTAAGCAAAGCTGTTGCCGCTGCCACTTCTCGTGTTCGGATCTCGTATTAATGGGCTGCTTCCAGGCGCCGCATTCTATGAGTGTAATCTGTGTCGAAAAGGGTTATATTACGCTCTTCCGCAACAGCCTGCTCTTTGAAGCAGCTCGCAGATGTCTGTGGTGAGAGCCCAGGACGTGACCACCGGGAGAGATGAGGGACACAGAGGGCGAGTCAGGAGAGATGAGGGGTCCAGAGAATGAGTCTCGAGTAATACCATATCTAAAATCAGGGACACCACATGACAACATGGAAACAGTAGCAGCGTTAGACCAATGGCAGTACATGGAAAGAGAAACTTGGAATAAAACGATAAGAAAAAGAGGCGAAAAAGAGTTTCGTGAATGTAGGCGGCGCAATTGCCTGTCCCGCGTGAAACGTGTCCTAAAACGTCGAGTTTTGACACTTTATCAGTCTCCTTCATGACATTGCTTGACCAGTACCTCCTACTGGCATTGAAGCAAAATTTCAGTTATTGTCAGCATGAAACACTCCGATGTAGCCGTACCAAAAAACCAGAGCCTAAGGGCCTTCTTGCTTATTTCAGGTGTAATTAGCCCACACGCAGCAGCGTTTCAACACCACCGCAGCGCTGCATTTCCCTTACATGTCGTGAGAGCTTTGCGAGTCGGTTCGCTGATCGGTCACGGAGACCACTGCACCGCTGACATGGCCTGTCACACAAATATTTGCCCTTGCACGCTAGCATTACAAAGACAGGGATGTAATCTTGGTACCAAGCTCGAAATGCATGAAAACCAGGATTAACAAGGGCGAACCTCATGGAATGTCGTCGGCTGTATCAGAAACGTTGCTGCCGAAGTGTTTTGTTTCGTAACTTGGTACTAATCCTAATTTTACGATCATTACGTTACGTTTGCGCTCATTTATTATTTGTTCCTGTGGAACCAAAGTCGCAACATAACATGACGATTAGGCTCATACTGACGAAACAAAAACGCCTCCAAAGCAAAATTTGCCCTGTTGTTTTGACAGAACTGACGACAAACAGTTTGTTTCGCCCTGCTTATCATGTTTTTTTTGCGCATTTCAGATTAGGCATCGAATTTGTTTCTGTCTAATAATGTCACCGTGTAAACATTGTAAAAATTGCTCCTGTGAACTTTGTACCATGCCCGCCAATTTCCACTTGGTAAAAACAAATAAAAATAACAGCAAAAACACCT